GGGTTTAGGGCATTTAGGGGTTTAAGGGGTTAAGGGGTTTAGAGTTTAGGGGTTTAGTTTAGGGGTTTAGGGTTTAGGGCATTCAGGGTTTCCAGAAAGTTAGAACATCATTATCCTACTGCCCTTACGCTTAAGCAAGGGAATCAACCCACACACAAATCATCTTAGGGTTTGGGATTCAGGGTTCAGTGGTTCCGGGGGTAAGGACCAAGGGTTCTAGGGGTTCAGGAGTTTTGGGGTTTGGAGGCTGAGAGGTTTTGGGTGTTTGCGTTTGGGGCTTGGGGTTTAGAAGTACTGGCACCAAGGAACCAACAGAGCCAAAAATCAATTCAGGGATCAGGGTCCTTGTCATTAACCCCCCCTAGAGTGACTCCCAGTGGTCCTAGTTTGAATGAAGAAGCCCCATATAAGGCAACAGATTAACCTTCAGACAGCTTTCATAAAACGTTGCTAACATCTTTCCCAACACCTCCTAAGAACTCCCACTCTGACATGAGAGGCAATCCTGATTTCAAGAACCCAAGAGGGTTTAGGGTTTAGGGTTTAGAGTTTAGGGTGTAGGGTGTAGGGTTTAGGGTTTAAGGTTTAGGGTTTAGGGTTTAGGGTAAGAGGGTTTGGGGCTTCGGTTCCTTTTGGGCTTCCAGTGCAGAGCCCAGCAGAATGGCACTCGGTGGCGTTCTTCGACACGCCGGACCTGAGCTACGGCTTAGGGCCAAGAGGTATAACTACTCATAACCCCAAGGATGGTGGGACTTGGTTTAGGGTTTAGGGTTTAGGGTTGAGGGCTTAGTGATCAAAGTTCTAACTAAGGTAACCTATAAGTAGAGTTAAGGACTTATAATAGCCCAATTGAAGCACTTCTAGCCTTACTTAGTCCCATGATCCCCCCACGCTACAGTTTAGGGTGTATAGAACTGGTGAAGAACTGGCAGCCAAGGCAAGAGAGCGCTGCTGGCTTATGTAGTCGAGTCTGGAAAGGAATGGAAGTGGCCCCACGCTTTCCCCCCCCCCCCCCACTCCCACATCGCAGGGCAGCTCCGAAGACGTCATGGCCACCCTCCGTGAAGGGTTCGAGAGGGGGAGCTAACATGATGCGGACCAAGATGCCCGGAGGGAAGGAGAGGGGAGGGGGTAGAAGGCAAACAGAGGTAGAGAAGTAGGGGAGGGCAACAAGGCGAGGCAAGTAGGGGGAAAAGGAGGGAGAGACATGGCAGCTGATGGCCCTGGCAGATGCGGCAGCTTCATCATGACGGTACTGCAAGAAGTCACATCTCCTGCTCTATGTACACCGCACGGCTCTCTGATTGCAGGGCACGGCAGGGAGCACGGACTCGCGCTAGTCACTGACGAAGGTGAAGCACTGGGCTTAGGGACGAGCCCTCAGGAGGGAGAGGGTTATGCACAGGGAGCCCGCTGCGGTTAGGAGAGCACAGCACCTCTACATTCCAAGTTGGTCCCAGATTGGGCGAGAAGCACCTAGCACGGGAGGGACGCTTTGGCAGTGAGGAAACCAAGGCTAGATTCCAGATTTTGGAGATCACTACAAAAGAAACCAAACCATGAACCCAAAAAGCAAAAAGCCCGTAACCAAGAGCCTTGACAAGTAGATTAGGGTTTTGGGGACTATTCTACCATAGTTATAATGAGGAGCCCCAAAACAGTCTTGATAATTAGTTAGGCCCCTATACCCGAAACCCTATACCCTAAACCCTCTACCCTAAAGCCTAAACCCAAAACCCTTAACCGCCATATGCCATTTCGCTGGTCGTCAGCCCTCGGCGAACAGTGTTTGGGGTTCAGGAAAGCAGCACCTTTAGGGTTTAGGGTTTAGGGTTCAGGGTTTAGGGGGGATGGTAATCTCCATGCCAAAAACACTAAGCCTCACGACTTTAGGCTTGTCTACTGCAGGACAAAAGTTCGCCACACGACCTGCAACTTCACATGCGAGGCTCTGGGACCCCCTTTTGCCCCCGTAGACTCCTCACACGTCCCGCAAGGCCTACCCTTATACTAATTCCCAAAACCACTACGCAACTCGAAAGCCCGCCGCCGGGTCTGGTGTGCGAACAAAGTCGCAGGATGTCTCGAATCTCGTCGAAGCCGGCCTGCAGGCGTTTAGGGTGTAGGATTTAGGATTTTAGGTGGTCTGTAGAAGGGTTTTAAGCCAGCTTTCTAAAAGGCTCCATCGAGTTGTGCAATGTTGTTGTGAAGCTTTACAGGGCGGCTTTGGCCACGGAGTTCCGTATTACCTTGGTTCCGTCAGGGCTTGTCTTACCGTCTTAGGCTTTAGGGTTCCAGGGTCTTGGCTTTGATTGTGCTACGTATTCTCACTTTATTAAGACCCATGCACTACGGGTCTATAACTTTTAGCTGGGTCTGCGATACTCACTCTGTCAGGGCGTCACATTGCTGTTCAATTCATGCCAGGCCGGCTTATCACCGGGGCCTTGAGCATTGGAGTTGGCTCTTGGGGTATGGGTTTAGGGTTTAGGGTTTAGGGTTTAGGTATGTTGTGGAACCCTGAGGAATAGTATTGGTAACTGCTCAGACGCCCTGAATCGGAGTTTCCGAAGGCCTTTTGGGCAGGTTATGGTTTCAGAGTTTAGGGTTTAGGGTCTAGGGTTTAGGGTTTAGGTTTTCCAACATCCTAAAGCCTCTAACCCAAAACCATAAACCCCAGATGCCGTTCCCTAAACCTAAACCCTAAGCCCCAAACCCCAAGCCCTTCTGGAAGCCAGCAAGAAATCGCAAGGAAACAACCCCAGATTTAAAAATGCCCACAATAAACAGCATATGGTCCCTGTTTAGGGTTTAGGGTCCCCTGTATACTCTAAACTACATCGAAACCTTGCTCCAACTATTCGGGTCCCGATACTTGGAGGCTCATGGATATAAGCACCTTCATTAGGCGTGTAAGGCTTTACAACCATAGCTACCTTCATTATAGCCCTAAACCCTAAACCCTAAACCCTAAACCCTAAACCCTAAACCCTAAAAACCCCTAAAGTCTTCGCTGAGGGCTCGACAACCGCCACGCGGAGCCCGAAGCGGCCCGAGCTTTGCGAGCGGCAGAAAACGCGTACGCGGAGCCAGGTGAAGCTAGGCGACTGGCACCATGCATGC